GCTGTGTCGGGGAAAAAGGAATATAAACCAGAATTTTCTTTTATTTTTCTGAATTAAAGCAAAAAGTCTAGATTGTGAGTTTAATGTGATCCCTGTTTCCTTTTGGTGTAACTGAGTTTGACATCAAGCAACATGCTGAACAAAAGTTCCCAATCTGGAATGAATATTATGTAACATTTAAATGACCAGCTGTTTTATTTGGTACGTCATACTGGGAATGAGTTCTTTGGCCTTCAGAACCTGACTTCATTTTTTAACCATCCTAACAGATTTTGCTCCACATTCAGAATCAGAATCAGAATCAGACAGGGTTTTTTTTTTTTTTTGCCAAATGTTGAGCAGGTTTACAACATTAGGAAATTGCTGCAGTACTTAGTGCAAAACATACTGTAAGACAACACTTAAATAAACATAAAAATAAGTGCTAAGCAGATAGATAAATACATGAATTTCCTGTAAAAGGTGCTCTGTTGGATTGAGATCTGGTAACTGTGGAGGCCATTTGAGTGCAGTGAACTCATTGTCATGTTTAAGAAACCAGTTTGTGATGATTTGATCTTTGTGACATGGTCCATTATCCTGCTGGAAGCACGCTGTCATAAAGATGAACACAGTCAGTACAAATACTCAATAAGCTGTGGTATTTAAATGGTGCTCAGTTGGTGCCCAAAGTGTGTCAATACAATATATCCCACACCACCAGGCAGGATGGATTCATGCATTCAAGTTGTTTATGTCATAGCATGACTCTGCCATCTCAATGTTGCAGCAGAAACTGAAACATATCCAACCAGCCATTGTTGTTCCAAATATTTGTTGTCCAATTTCATTGTGTTTGTGTGAAAGATGGCCTCAGTTTCCTGTTCTTAGCTGAAAGGGTTGGTCTTCTGCTGCTGTAGCCCATCGTCTAATTTAAGAGAAGAGGTGCTCTTCTGCATATTTTGTTTGTAATGATTGATTGTTTGGGTTAATTTCACCCGGTCGTGGCCCTCTGAACACTCTCATCTCATCTCTGGCATCATATTTTCTCTTCTTCCAGGCCGTTTTCTATAAACCTTATAGATGCTTATGTGGGGAAAATCCCAGTAGATTCAGTAACACTCAGACCAACCCGTCACTTTAGGAGCGACCTAAATCAATACTCATGTTAACTAAAAGTTGAACAGGGATACATAACAAAGTGCCAGGTGAGGTGATTTGAAATGAACCAAGCTACATTATCCATTAATGTAGCTTGGTTTTTTTTTCTTGCTTTATTGGCTAGGCAGACAAAAAACTGGAAAAATAAGTCATTAAATGCTACTGAAAAAACAAAACAAAAAATGAAATGGAAGATATGGATTTGTGGACAGGTGTGTTTTAGACACATAACAAGTTGAAAGTATCTATAACTGATTGATTGATTGTAAACTGTGTAATCTGTGTGTCTGTTTTCCAAACAGAAAAAACCCCTCATATAATAACTTTCTGTTTGTTGGAAAGGAACAAGAAGGAAAGTAAGGGCCCCACATTTAGGAAAGCACAATTCCAGGAAGAAGGCTATTGCATACCAGAGCAAATAAAGAGTTAATAAAATTCCTACAGTGCCTGCCCTTTTATCTCAGTAGTAATAAAAAAAGAGTGAAAGAAGTAACTATGAATAGACCATGAATATCACATAATGGATGTCTGCCAAAAGTGAGCTCACACTGTGTTCTACTGACCCTTGGCTGTGGAAGTATATCAGATTCACCCGTCTCCAAACCAAACACTACACTGTCTTTGAACTTGTCAAAATGTATTAATGAACAACAACAACAACAACAAACTGATTTGGATTAGTACACTTTGTTTTGGAAATTCTGCAGCAGGAAATGCGCCAACAGCTTGCAAAGCAAATAAAGTACAACTAATTTAAGAACGGGAAGGGATCACGTTGAAACAGATCACTGACTCATCTTTTGGCCCATGAAAGCTGCAGTGGCGTTGCCATGACACCACAGTGTACATGTATTCTTGGCATCTAAACTCCGATAGACCACAAAGCTGACACCTGACAGCGGTACTAAGCTTCTAAAAAGTTACATCAGCTGCTTGCAGGTCAATACATGTTGAAGGCAAGATATTATGAACAAACTGGGAAGAACTTTTAATCTACTACTACTAATACAGTTCATCAAAAGACGCAGAGAAAATAGAAAATGTCTTCACTGCTTTTAAAAGAAGCTTGTTTGTCATAGTTTATTAAACAGAGTCACTGTTGAATATTTGTTTAGTACTGTGCTATAGCTTTTAGTAGGGTAGTATTGCAGTATTATATTATACTAGGGAATTTAGAAATTATATCTCCTAACTTTCTCTATAAAAAGGTACTTTTTGCAATTACCCAATGCAAATTTCAACTAAATAAAATTCACCACTAAAGGGCAGCGTTTCACCAAAAACATATATTATAAACTGCTGTGGGAAAAATTTAAACGCAGCATTTATTTTGAGATCCGGTGCAAACTGTTTGGTAGATAGCTATGAAGCACAAACTGTCTACTCCAGTGGAAAGCTCCCCTGACACTTTCATTTTTAGAATTGTACCTTTTTTTTTTGTAAATCCCCAAAAGTTGATTCTGGACGAGGCATTTTCAGTGGAAGAAATGTTTTGTCACTCATCCAACTGACTTCTTCAGTCTCCACTAAGTCACTTGGATGAGCGACGAAACGTTTCTCCCACTGAAAACGTTACATCCAGAAGAACAAAATCAACTTTGGCCCCACAGGAGTTAGTGTAAGAGCTGGAGTTGGAATAACATTCTCTTACCATTATTTGCTGTCCCATTTATTAGAACATCTGTCCTTCCACACTAATGTCAGTTTATTTGTAAAATCCTCACATACTGTATATGGGTTTTAAAAATAAGTAGAAAAGAAAAATAAGATACTGTACGCCTACCCTAGATATAATAATCTTAGGCTTGATCTTTACATGTTGTATTTAGAAACAAGAAAACTTCTACACCCATTGCTCTTAACCCGCCACAGCAAGTTTCAGGTTAGCACAATATATGCAGCTGTTGAAACAAGCAACAGCAAAGACGATAAACTTCTATGGGGGATACAGGAACAAGGCCTCTAGAACACAGCACAGATGATTCATTTTACCACACCTTCTTTTTAAGCCTGTTGTTGCCACGACCACAGGAGGTGCAGTTTCAGTTTCTGCGGGTAATAAGCCTGTGTACATACAACACATAGTCGGAACCACAATTGGACCCAGAAGAAAGACAGATGCATGCGTTCATGCATTGGCTTTACAATTTTCAATACTACTTGTATTGTGATCATTTATTTAAGTATTTGCACCATCAGGGTGTGCCAACAAAAAGGCAGCTCAGCTTAGAGAGAAAATAAACAGTAATCTACACACAGTCCGTGTTTATTGGCTTCAAATCTTGACATTTCCACAGTTTTTAACATCGCGTTTCTCCAGCCTGGGAGCACACCACCAAAACCTACAGTGCCATTAGCCACGCACTGTACTTTTTAAAAAAAAATTACTGTGGGGACATAAAGGCCCATCAAACAACTGAACATCTGGCCTACTTTGCTTGTGGCGAAGGCATTTATAGTTGAGTTAACAGAATCGGTTCTTTCAAGGATGTAAAATTGGCGCACTGTGAGGCAGTTACTCATTCTTTTTTTTAAGGATGCTCCAAACTAGCCACTAAAGAGATCATTACTCAAATGTTTTACATGGAAGAAAAGGACAGGCTGCCAAAAAGACGTGTAAGGCAGTTTACGGGCAGTATTTTCTGTGGAAGGGAGTGAACTCCCTTTTCCTGGACTTTGGCTTGTGTTAAAAATAGTGCGTGTTGTAGAAATGCACTGCAATCAGAAATAGATCAAATCCATAGAAGCATGGTGTGGGTTGTGATATGTAACATCGAGTCAAGTCGAGCTGATTTTAAGTTTAATATTGTAGTAAATTAAATAATAAATTTAATAGCTAACCTTAGCCGTTAGCTCGTATCATTTTTTCACATTGCACCGCTAATTAATGAAGCATTTTATGGTTTCTGATCATTCAACATAGAGTACATGCCTGGCAGCTACATCCCCAATCTGGAGGCCTAACCAAGTTTTTTTTTTCTTTATTTTGGTAATTTGCAGTTTTGATGCAAAGATCGGCCTCTTAAATATCTGAAAACGTTAGCTGTAGCGGACAGAGATCGAAAAACATGTTTAACCTTTATACACTTCGTTAATTAGGATGCCTGCAAGCAGCTACCAGTGATTGAGAGCAGCACTTTGAACGATTTAAGAGATCACTTGGAAGTGCACAAAAGCACACTCTTCTTTCCTAAATTGCCACACTGCATGCGGTTGCCATAACAGCACAGCGCTAATTTACACATGGTTAGCTTTTTTCAGCTATTTAAAACTAACAGATGGCTTGCTAACACTCAAACGGAGTCATCCAACACACACATTTCAATTTATTTCAGTTATTAACACATTTAAACCCAAAATAACTGCCTTAAAGCATGCAAGACCACAGAGTGTCCTCTGTTAACCCCTCTAAACAACTGATTCCTTCACAGTTGCTGAAAGAAAAGACCAAAAATATGTAAATGGACTTGCAAACAAGTCTTCCATTTACACAATCAAATACAAACCTTTGACAGAGAGAAGCAATGTAGTTAGGTCAATTTGCAAAACCCCTGAAATGCAAAAAATTCTTTCAACACTTTCTCAAAGAGAGAAGTGGGGGGTGGAGTAATAAATCAGAATTATGTAAGTATCTATTAGTCACGCTATTTGCGGACTGCTGTGTCGATTATAGTCTCTATCTACGTGTTTTTGGTCTGACTGACTGTACATGTGGGGTGGATGGGGTTGACATGAACTGTCCCACAGTCCCTCCCACTGGGTATGGCATTCAGGTGCAACTCCCTCCCTTCTACTATAAAGCCTCTCATGTTAGCAGCATAAACTTCAGACTTCAACTCATGGTAAAGTCTTTACAGCTTTCACCAAAAACAACAACAACAAAAAAAAACCACACAGCTAAAGTAGTAAAGAACAAACTTGGATGTGCACCATTAATTTTGTACATCACAACACAAACTAGAGCCAGAGGTAAGTGAATTTGTCGCTGATTTCTATTTGAGTAAGTTTTGTAAAGAATTTAAATTCTGCAAAATTGGTGAAAAAATTCTGAATCACTGGAAGAAAATATTTTATTTATTTATGCTGTTCTGTGCAGAAAACTCCACATGTTACTGCAATAATGTGTCTAAAAGAGCTTCATCGTTCAGATGTTGTGGTAATAGATAAGGCATGACCGCTTCAGTGCCATTTCTGTCTGTTTACCATTGGCAGCTCCCAGCCAACATGAGATTATCTCTGCACATCATCATCTGCTGCTGTGTTTTCACCACAGTCCTGCCATTGGTAAAAGGGGCCACAGGAGAGACCAACGCCAGCCTGAGAAAAAGGTAAGCTCTCAGAACATTGTGTTCATTCTACATTCATCTAGTAGAATAAGATGCCCACTGTTGGTAACACAAGGAACTTTTATGCCAAGTAGATTCTGAATTTTAGTTTTTTCTTGACATAAGGGATTATTAAGCCAATAATGATAGATATATGTTTTTTTTTACTTGAATATAGTATAGCTACATCAGCACTACATTTCATAATGGGCAAAGTTGTAGTGTCTTCAGTGGACACTGTCTCTGAATGTCTTTGACATTTATTCATTGCAATTTCCTTTTACTCACTACATGTACGTGTGTATGAACATATTTAGATTGTATAAAGTGCTTTGAGTGGTTGAGTAGAGTAGAAAAGTGCTATATATATATCACTTAACATCAGTGATAATGTGACAGAGTTGAAGGTTTGTGGTTAACTACCTGTTTGATCTTTGTGGCAGGTCTAGAGTATGGCTGCAGAGCCATATGAAGAGAGACTTGCGCAGTCGCTTAGTGACAGGCGATGACCAACATTTTGGTGGACTGCAGCAGGACAGGCTTGCCAAAACTCTACCAACCCCATCAAGGTAACAAGAAACATTGGATTGGTGACCTAGAGTCACATAGTCATTCAGTGTGCTCCTAGTTATTTTCCTACTTAGAATACCCCCATGGCTGTCATTTATGAGAGGTGTTCAAATTTTAAAAGTGTTAAAATTCAGAATTTTGAAGCATCTATTTTTGTTCAAGACGCTACAAATGAAGTCTGAAAATGATCCATTCTCTACTGGATAAAACATGCAAAAATCTAGATATGAAACATTTTGGATTTTACACACTGTGAACATATTATGTGTTGCCAAGCTAGACTTAACAGCACCTCTAAAGCAGTAAATCTTCCCCTTTTTTCCAGCTTTGGCCCAAATATAAGGTCCAGGAGGTCAACGTCAAGTCAGTCTGGTTGCCTCCTAATCACATGTATATACCACGACTTGTTCTACCGATTGAGCCTGACAAAGAAGAACGCTCAAACAGACACCACTGCTCCTAAATCAAAGATGGGACCGGGTGGCTTTGGACGTCGACGCCGCTCACTTCTGGATGCCACTCAGCTCATCCTCGAGACAGGAACGCATAGATGGAGCACGGAAACTGGTCAGCGAGTCAGCAACCCCAAAAGCACCCACACGGTGGCCTAGGGCAGGCATGAGAAAGCAAAGGAGAGTCCCTGTTGGGGTTATGTGAGCACTGCAGATGAAGATTAGTCCACGCAGAACTTTTATTCCACAGATTCGGCGCTAGATATAGCGAAAGACTGGCTGCTACATCTGCACAGCCCATCGGAGGAAGCTCAAACCACTCTGGATGAAAGGAAGATTGAAATAAATCAAACTGAGACGTTTGTGTGCACATGCTTAGGTTCAGGTTTCAGTGTCTCTGAACAAGTGTTTGATTTATTGATGAATTCAAGCCAGACCTATGGGACTTGACAAGAATGTCTGTCTCTTCTTCAGCATCCAAAGCGAGCTTGGCAGCTGAGACAGAAGACAATTCATGTGGATCTTCTCCGAAACACAAAGCTTGGAGGAACACATTCTGCAACAAGGGAGCCTTTTTATTTTACTTTTTCTTCAAGGAATCAGCATTACTGGGCCCCAAACTATCAAATGCAGAATCCTCACAAAACTGAACTGAATGTATCGAATTGCTTGTTAGCTACAATTTTTATATATAGATAAACATATAAAATATGTACCTTATATGTTAAAATATGAAAGACTACCTTATAATGTATGCAACTATAATTTCCAACAACAAAACTACATATTAAACATCTTTAGTTTAACTTCAGTGAAGTATCTGATGTATCTGAAATGTGTCAATTTTTTTGTTTTGCTTTTTTATTTCTATGTATGTATCTAAACAATGAGTTGTACCATTTGCCTTCACTTGATTACACCTTTTTGGAACTTACTCATATTTAACATGTCTTATGCATATTTATCTGCACCTGAAGCAAAGCAGGCCTTTTAGTTTGGGGCTGAGCTTTCACTTAAAGGGAAGGAGAAGGATTGATGAGCTGATGAAAGTGCTGTGCTGCCATCTAGCTTTGCAGCAGGCTTATGTGTAACAAATGCAGGCCAAGCCATTTCAAAGCATCTACTTTGGTGTGTTAAATGTTAGGTTTATCGCCTCCTATATTTGAATGTTATAAATCATAATCATTTGCTCACAATTCAGCTGAAATTACTTGAAAAGGTATTACTGAACCAGATTAATGTCTTGCTTCGAATACCAGGAACTGTAATAATTTTCAGTAATAAATGAACAAATAAAACAATAAAATAAACTTGAAGAAACCTTTCTTCTGTGATCCACATCAATTATTTACCTTGTGTGTGTCTGTGTGTGCGTGTGTGTGCGTTCGTGTTAGGGGGAAACACATGGCGTGTCCCTTGTCATTTAAGGATTGCGTGTGCTGTTTAATAAAATTAAACTCTGAGTCATATTGAGAGCAAAATATGTGACCCAGTGGTTTACATTCCATTCTAAAAATAGCACTACTCATCACCTGCACTGTCTCAAGAAACACATGTACTAAAATTACATTTGTATTGGGTAAACATGTTGCTCGGATTGAGTAAGTTCGACCTCTCGGGACAATAAATTACGTTTTGGCACAAATGTGACAGTCCAAGTTCTGCTTAATGGAGAGGAGAGTGGTGTGCTCTTTTATATATTAGAAACACTTACATGAGGGCTAGAAAGATATAATCACTGTGGAATGTGACCCCCAACCCACACACACACACACGCACACGCACCTCCCTGTATGCTGAGTGGTCACAGTGCCCTAAAATGATAAACAGATTTGACATAAATGACATAAATTTGACATAAAAACATCAACTTCCCCTCTAGGAGGATTAAATGCTACGATGGTCTCTGGCTTTGCTATGGGTTTGTTTGCAAAGAATCCAACAAACATTTGAAATATTCAATTATAAAAAGCTCATATTTCACCCATTGCTGTTGCCTGTGTTATTTAATGTGCAAGTAATGAACAAATGGCACACAGACATGTGAAGTTTTCTTTCTCTTGTCAAGTCCAGTAAAGAACTATCAGTCCACAAAATAAAGATGTTGGAGTGGTTCATCAACATATTGCATGTGCAGTATCTTGAAAATGGTCAAAGTACACCCTTTCATTTCTAAGGATTTACATATCAGGACATACAGTAAAAGCCAAATTGCAGAAGCTGTGTATGCAAAACTAAGCTGCTGCCATAGGAATTCAAAGCTTAGGTAACAACCAGGTGCTGTTAATCAAGTGCACCAAATTAACTGATCAACAGCAAGTTTGAGTGCCTCAATAAAAACACAGACATGCCGTCAGTTTGCTGTGGAGCATTGAGGTACATGTTAATACGTTAAAACGTTACTCATCCAAGTGACTTCCTCAGTCTCAGCTGACTGCAGGTTTTGCCCAATCTTATAAACACTACCTTTGCACGATGACTGAAACCAGCCCACTGAAGGAACATTGGGCTGTGAGGTCAGTTCTTTGATCATTGATATGCACATTTTCACGAGTACTACTTACAGAGTTGGGGAATGGCTGCAGTCAGAGCATTGTAAGATGGTGAAAGATGTCTTTCCCTTTTCACATAAATGGCCTCCTTGACTCTCTGCTCAAACCAGCATTCCTCCCTGTCCAGGGTATATACATCCTCATCACTGAATGAGTGGCCCTGGCCTGTAGGTGTAGACAGACTGCGGAGTCCTGGCCTGATGAGTTAGCTCTTCTGTGTTATGACATCTCGTCAGGCCAGGACTCTGCATTTATGCTAGTTTGAGTCATTATGCACATGTACTGTTTTTCCCACTGAAAATGCTACATCCAGATGAACAGAATAGATTTTGGGGGATTTCCTTATCTGGAAGATAGAGCATGCATCAGGACACTCGACTTTTCTAGTGCATACAATACCATCAGGCGAACCCTCCTGGGTCATAAGCTGACAGGAATGCAAGTGGATACCTCTCTTGTGACCTGGATTATTGATTACCTGACACGAAGACCACAATATGTGTCTTCAACATTGTGTGTGTCTGACAAGATGATCAGCAACACGAGGCCACCACAAGGTACCGTCCTCTCCTTTCCTCTTCAGCCTCTACACCAGCGGTCCCCAACCTTTTTTGCGCCACGGACCGGTTTATGCCCGACAGTATTTTCACGGACCGGCCTTTAAGGTGTCGCGGATAAATACAACAAAATAAAACTAGTACCGGTACCGAACAAAAGAAGGTTTATTCATAACACACGTGAAAAGACCCAGGAAAACCGAGTAAACGATAAAAACGATAACAAAATAACACTGAAAACCGATAAAACCCCTGAAAACCATACATTTCACACCTGAGCCTCAACTCTCGCGGCCCGGTACCAAACGACTCACGGACCGGTACCGGTCCGAGGCCCGGGGGTTGGGGACCGCTGCTCTACACCACAGACTGCAGCCACTACACAGAGACCTGCCATCTTCAGAAGTTTTCTTATTACTCTGCAGTGGTTGGATGCATCAGTGAGGGTGATGAGTCACATGGTGTGTCACATGGTGTGAGCAGAATCATCTGCAGCTCAACGTGACAAAGACCGAAAAATTGATCATAAATACCTTGGAGAACACATAGATAATAAACTGGACTGGGACCTTAAGTGCATGAACGCATGTCTGCAAATGTGAATGAAGTGAAGCAACGCTGAAAAGATGAGTGAGCCAAGTTTTCTCCACAACAATCTGAGAGACTGATATGTCATACAGAAAATGATTACTTCAGCTTATTTGTGCTAAAGGTGGGTCTACAAGCTATTAACAGATGGGCAACATGATGCTATGTCAACACAAGACAACCCCGAGTCTCCACTTTTGTGTTAAAAGTTCGGACTTCAAACTTTATACCAGTTTTTAAATTGTGTTGATAAGCTACGTAAAACCAGTTATGCTAAAAATGTACATAATGTTTTTCCTGAATACTATCTTTATGTTTACTGCAGGAAGAAACTGTAAAAACAGCGTTTTCTAAAGAGAGCGCTCGAAAGTGATACACCTCCTGCTTTCAGGTCTGCAGGTATCAGGCTTATAATGTTTCATTTATCTTATAGTGGACAGAAATTATTGTTTGAAGTGGCAAAATCCTCAATCCTGATTGAGGTTGTCATGAATAAATTATGACAACCTCAATCAGGATTTTTTTCTTAAGTATTTTTATTCATCTTTAGGCATGAAAAGATGAATAAAAATACTTAAGAAAAAAATCCTGATTGAGGTTGTCATAATTTATTCATGACAGGGTTAAATAACAATAATTGCAATGGAACACGTCATACATCTATAGGCACATTAAACCACCAGTGGGCGGCAGGGTATGGAGTGACACATCAGTGTCCATTGTAGTTGTTTATGTGCAAGTATACCATCAGCACTGACACCAATACAAGAAAACAGCACAGCTGTTCACTGTAGTGACCACTATGTGTGAAAGGGCTAATTACTTTATCAAAGTAAGTTGCTCAACACTGCTAATAAAAAATAACAAACTGCAGTGCACCAATGTTAAAGTAATATCAACATTTTATAAATTTAGAGTCACCCTAAATTTGAAGTTTGACCAGTTTGACCTGTCCACCTGCTGAATGCGCAGCTGCTGTGGCACTGTATGCTACAGCAGCATTGGACCATAAAGAAGAAGTATCATGAATACACAAAGGAGTATAGGGCTTTAAAAAAAAGTATCTAGCCAACCGAGGAGAATGAACTTTCCGTCGCTGTCCAGATGGTGGTGTTGCAAGCATTACAGTAGCATTACCTTATGCTGAGCATACTCAGGACCAGTTTACTAGTATTTCAGACGTGTGTAGCAGTGGTATGCTACACACACACACACACACACACACACCACCACCACCACGACCACCATTTCTATATCAGTGCTCTGTTGACCAGGTCAGGATCAAACATCTTGACCTTGGTCACAGGAACCTGAAATAAAAAAAAATAAAAAAAAACGTTGTCAAAATTTACTTCTCTTTTCAAAGTGGTGGAGAAAGCAATCCTTTTATAGAAAAAAGTCACTTCCCCATGTTTGTTTATATTTGCACACACACACACACACGCACACACGCACACACACACACACTTTCTCTAATCAAATACCCTAAAAGGAGACGGTGACTTGTCGCCAGCCCAGTGAATTACACATACAACTTAAGTTGACAAAGAGGGGTGGGGCTTATGAAGTCTCAAGGCTTTTAAAAAAAGTGACACAGAACTGCTTGTTCATACAAACGCTTCCTCCTGCACTTCCTCTACTGCCAAACAACACTGATGCAGATTACTTCCTTGTTTGCTACACCAACTTTGTACCTCCTTCATACTTCAACCCGGCAGTGACAGCCCGAACCAGCCCGGTGTCTGCTGGAACCTGCACTGACAAGGCTTCAGTCTGCTGACACCTGACAACGCTCTCTACAGTCCCAGGACGTTTTAGCTTTGTGCAAAGCCCTGCCAACAGTAAGTACACGGCAGTCATAATGATTCTTTGTGTTTCCATTGTTTATATTAACTTTATGTCATTATCAACACACCAGCATTGCTTTTAGCACTTACCTCCTTTGCATGGTGAGCTCTGGCAGACATACCTAGATATAGTTTGCATATAGATTAACCCTCTGATGCATGAATTATGAAAGCCTTGGTCAAGATTTTTTTCTTAAGTGCTTTTATTCTTCTCAGGACATGAAAAAAAATGTTCAACTCTTTTTTTCCCAAAAATATGTTTTTTTATAAAGTTATAAACTTGTCCACTCCAGTGGACTACATGCGCCTGAGCACTTAGCATGAAATACTGTGAATTTACTATAAAAATTAATTACCTTGTGTTCTATTGTAAATATACAAACACTTGTTTGCTTGTATCCTTTGAAAAACATCTCAGCAATTTTTTTGGAACTTTCAACTCATAAGGCCCCAATGTTTAGACGTAAATAACAAAACCAATCAACAGTCCTAGCTGTGAATCCTACACCTGAATATGGCAAACTATCTCCAACAAGAGAAACATTTTTGAGTCTACACAGTTCTATAACGATGCAGGACAGTATTACCAAGCCCTTAGTAGCATGCTGGAAGAAAACACAAACTGACATCTTAGTCTCTGCATCTCCAAACACTTCTGTGTTCATCACACCTAGGCTGTCCGTAGTTCCTATGTCTCTGTTCTGCTCTGGCAGCCACTCTCATCATCACTGGACTTATCACTGAGCTCATCATCACTGCACTCATCA